CTTCACATGCTGGAGGACAAACAAGGACAAACCCAGTGAATGGCTCAATCCTGAATTTATGTCTCTTACAGTGAAATTCCAGCTCTTGGGAAGTTCCAGGCCCAGAGAGCGGAGACCCAGCAGGAAATCGGTCCCTGCAAACGGTGTCCCCCATCCCGGGGCTGTGACCCCATGAACGGAGCCTGGGGACACAAAAATGTCACCTACCTGGTAATCCATGGGCCTCCCAGCGCTCGGCTCCATCTTGATGTCAGGCTTGGACCTTGGGAGAGGCAGAAGAAACTCTGGGTAAAAGCACAGCTGGAATTCTTGGAATTCTTGGAATTATGGAATGGTTTGGGTGGGAAAGGACTCCCCAGGGTRCCCCAAACCCCAATGTCCAACCTGRCCTTGGACATTTCCATGGTTCCAGGRGCAGCCACAGCTTCTCTGGGAATTCCATTCCACGCTCTCCCACCCTCACAGGGAAGGATTCCTTCCCAAAATCCCATCCATTCCCACCCTCTGGYAGTGTGACCCCATTCCCTGTCTCTTGTCCCTTGTCCCCAGTCCTTGTCACTCCAAACCCGGGGTCACCCTCGGATCTCCTGCATCCTTTGAATTTGAAGAACATCAACCTTGAGTGACTCCACAAACCTCAGTGATCGCTGCTGCAGTCAGATATTCCCAAAAAAACACCCAAAGCCTCCATGGGACAATGATCTCCAACATTCCCRTGTTGGGATCTCACATTTTTGGGATGTCAGTCCTCACCTCCCGCTGACACAGCTCTCACCTCTTATTGGACACATTGGTGGTGACAGCGGTGACAGAGGCCAGGGAGATGGTGTCTGGCTCCAGCCCCGCCCCAAACCTCCCCACTTTTCTGTCCAGGTCCTCTGTTTCCAGAACGGCCGGATCGTCTGCGGGGAAAGGGACAAAAGAACRGCTCCGGTTTTAATTTCCACCCGTGAATAATTCAAGGCCCRACAGAAAGGAAACCAAAACCGTCCSTCCAGACTCGGCTGGGAGAGTAAAAACAATGGGAACGGGGTCGGGGCTCGGACAAGCCGCTCAGAAAAGGGGATATGAGACAGAGGATGTGGAATTCCATCCGAGAAGAATCCCTGTGGAGGGTTTTGTGAAGGAAAAACTAAAAGGAATGGGAAAAATGCCCCGAATTGAGGGGGTGAAAGAGAGTTTGAGGAGCAGCTGGAGATCTGAGGAGCACGACAGGTGTGGCAAAGAAAACAGATTGTCTGGTTTTGAGGAGAGAGGGGTGAAAAAAATGGGGAAAACGGGTAATTCCAAGAGGAAAAGCTGCTGTAGGGAGAGTTGAGAGCCCAGATCCCACTGGCAYGTCCCCGTGATGGGGTTTTTGTTGGAAAAAGTTGCTGGAATGTTCCTTTCCTATGGGAAAGGGAGGCCTTGACCCAGCTGGAAAACTGAGTCACGGGAGATGGGAATTGCTGCCTCCAGCTTTGGGATTCTGGGAACAGAGATCTTTTAGGGGATCCAGGAGAGCTGGAGAGGGATTTGGGATAAGGGATGGAGGGATGGGRCAGCGGGAATGGATTCCACTGGGAAAGGGGGGGTTTATTGGGATCTTGGGAAGGAATTCCCAGCTGGGCTGGAATTCCTAGAGAAGCTGCAGCTTCTCCTGGATCCCTGGGAGTGTCCAAGTCCAGGCTGGTCCTGATCTGATCCAGAGGAGGAGTTGGGATGGGAGGGAAGCACCYGTGGATCATTGGGAATGCTGGGTCAGCCCATGGACAGCAGGAGTGGGATCCCCTCCCCATCCCATATTCAGTGAGTGAGGGTTGGGATCATAATCCCAGCTCCAGGAAGGTGTGGGACAGACGGAATTCCCTGGAAAAATGGGATCAGGAGGTCCCAGCCATGCAGCCCTGACAGATGGAATTTCCCTGGAAAAATGGGATCAGGAGCTTCCAGCTGTGCAGCTCTGACAGCCGGAATTCCTTGAGAAAAGAGGGATCAGGAGCTCCCAGCCGTGTAGCTCTGACAGTCAGAATTTCCCTGGAAAAATGGGATCAGGAGCTTCCAGCCATGAGGCTCTGACAGCCGGAATTTCCTTGGAAAAATGGGATCAGGAGCTTCCAGCTGTGCAGCTCCGACAGCTGGAATTCCTTGGGAAAAGCGGGATCAGGATCCCCCTGCTCGTACAGCTCTGACTGCCAAAATTCCCTGGAAAAAGTGGAATCAGGAGCTCCCAGCCGTGCAGCACCAACAGCCGGAATTCCCTGGAAAAATGGGATCAGGAGCTCCCAGC